TTACGAATTTTGATTGATCAAGAATACAATTCCTTAATGGGCATTTAAATTTGTAAATAATATTTGCCCTATTTAATTTTGTTCTAGGAGGTGAATATCTTGACAGTGTTTTTAAAAATTAAAACATTTTATAAAACATACATACAACAAACTATTTCTTATTTAAAAGTTAAAATATTTCATCCTTGAAAATGGCTAAATATACAGCTGAAAGCGCTCGGATGAAAAGAACATTCGGACAGTTTTTATATAATTTATCATCTGAAAAGAAAAAAAAATTATTAGATCGCATGAGAAATTGTATAAAAAACTAAATAAAAGCGCCTTGTCTGTCGTATTCAATGAAATATACATATACATACATATATATATATATATATATATATATATATAATACTCTAGGAGTACCATAATGGTTTCCCAACTGAAGAAAGATTAATTTTTAACGTTGAAACAAGATGTACAGTTTTGTAGTGGGTATTTACATGTTCTAATGCAACAGTGCATAATAAATAGATATTTATTGCTCTACTCTTGTTTTGAGCCCTGTTTTAAATTAATGTTTTGAACGTTGAAATTTTATTCTTCGTTCTTTTTACATTTATATATATATATATATATATATATATATATATATATATATATATATATATATATATATATATATATATATATATATATATATATATATATATATATATATACGTGTGTCGTTTGATTAAAGGATCGCAGTTTGAATAATAGTGACATTATGAATTTCGCGATAGTTACATACAATATTGAGTTTAGTTGTCCTTCTCCTAGACTGGGGGACAACCAAGACTGAGGAGACCACTCTACGCTACTATTTAATCCATAGCACAGAGGAGATGAATTTCACTCATTCCGCAATGGTACTTTCGTAAAAGTGAATATATCGAAACTTGACTGAAACTCGAACTCGTCTCTGCGATTTATCGCCCCGAGCCGTTTAATTGTCCTCGCCTTCATCATACATATATATATGTATGTGTGTGTGTTTTTTTTGTGTGTGTGTTTGTGTGTGTGTGTGTGTGTGTGTGCGTGCTTGTGTGTATATGTGTTAATTTGAAACTGTGAAACAGATTAAAATAACCAATAATTTCATGAAGTGTTATCGTAATTATCAACATAGTTCGTTGCACAAGTAATCAGTTCTTGGACTCTGGAGAAGGAAGATGTCTATACAGAAGATATTAAGTTTTCTCGCCAGTCCGAAGACACTCTCGACACATTTTTTTCTCTTTATTTTACTTTAAAAAACAACAACACCCAATAACATGTCAGTCACGTTTTGCTCCTAACACGAATTGGAACATCAGTGGACATCATGAATAAATTTATAATTTCAAAAAAGGACAGTGTATTTCGAGATGGAATAAATTTTGTCGAAGAAATTTCGTTTATGAATAACATAACGAATATCTTCATCTTATGGACTTGAACTTAGCGTAAAGAAAGAGCTATATGCAAACTGAGTTCAAATTCAGTCTGAGTCCATGCTTCAAATCTACAGATCAAGCATTCGTCCTTGCATTGAATACTGCTGCCATATATGGTCTGGTGCCCCCGCTGTTCATCTTGAGGTCCTCCACAAAATCCAGAGACGGATATGCAGTGTGATAGGTCTTGATCTGGCACCTTGTTTACAGTCACTCTCTCACAGAGGTGCTGCGGCTTCCCTCTGTCTTTTCTACAAATATATTTTTTTTTATGGCAGCTGTTCTGACCAGCTACTTTCACTGGTACCCAAACTGCAAGTGAGCTACCAGGTTGGCATGTCGGTCCCACCCTTTCAGTGTCGAAACGGTTAAATATATCCGCCTCTTTTACTCCAACAGCTTTTTCTCTCCCACTTCCCTACAGTGGAGCTCCCTTCCTCTTAGTTGCTTCCATGATAACTATAATCTTCAAAAGTGTAAATGTAATGTCAATCGACATCTTTTGATGACTTGATCCTGATCTCCGTCCTTTTCCATATCCTTTCCTCAAACACCCCTCTTTAATCTTGCTCTAACTCCTTGTAAACCACATGCGTGCTAGAAGCACTCCCGCCTTGATTGGGGTGAACTGCTGCAAAAAAATATAATCCCATTGCCCTTACGAAAATTATACATCCATTTCTCTTAGCAAAATCTATGGATTAAATAGCAGATTGCGGACCCTCATTGCTGGTAGCAGTCAGTCTAGGAGGAGAATCCCATGTCCCGAAAGACATTCTGTTTAAGATGAATCTTAATTTTGTGATTCTGAACATTCTGTTAGTACAGATGCGCTCTCCTGCCGTTTTTGAACTTACTAAAGAGATATGATTATTAAATAAACTAAGCAAAGATTGGAAGATGTGGAAAGTTATGATCAACCATTTCCTGAAGAGATACGACAGATAACAGAAAAATCTGCAAAATGCTTTACACGATACGGCATATTCAGGACATTACTTTTTATTGAAATAGCAATAATTGAAAACTGAATTGTTATG